AAAAAAAAAAAAAAGAGTGTGTGAATAGAAGTCAAGGTATATTCTGCCGCTCATGGAGGCCAATGAGAGCCAGACGAGATGAGACCCAAGGAGCAAGCCCAGGGCAGGTGGTGGGGCTGCCCGGGGATGGGTTTCGAGTTCTCTTTCTGCCTGGTTTCCTTCTCATCTCTCCAAATGAAAGTAGTCTTGTTATCCTGAGACCCATTTCCTCCTTCTCACCCCCTGACTGAGGCCCCTCTAACCTTGGCAGGCAGACATGGGAGATCCAGGAGACATCCAGGGAGATGGAAGGGTCAGACCTGGGGTGGCCAGAGGGGGGCAGCACCTAGCGTGGACACTGGGAGTTTCTGTTGCTGCCTGTGGACCGAGCCTCTATCCTCCAGGCGGTATCCTCCAGGCGGAAGTCTGTCTTCTACTTTTTTTTGAAATTTTTTTAACATTTTTATTCATTTTTTTTGAGGCAGAGAAGAGACAAACATGTTTGAGAGGAAGGAAGGCTCAAACAAATGAGAATTTAGAATCAGCTGGGACCCCTGAAACTGTCAGCACAGAGCCCATTGTGGGGCTGGGAACTCACAAACACTTGAGTCATCGACCTGAGAGTCGAGAATCAGGCAGCTTAACCGACTGAGCCACCCAGGCGCCCCAGGTCCGTCTTCTAGAGAGCCCCTAGAAGGAGTGCCTCGTGAAGTAGGGCGCTCTCTGCCATGTGTCACTACCGTGGACTCTTTCCTTGGTTTGGGGGGGAAGGGTGTGCGGGGCTAATTGGTGACATTTGGGAGGGCAGGAAGAATTTCCTGGCACCCACATGCCCTCCCTGTGGGATCAGAGCCCAGGCCACTGGAGACTGGCTTGGTGAAGCACATGATCGATGAGAGAGGGTATGAAAATGGCAGCTTGAGAGCCCCCCCACTCCGCCCTCCGCCCCCATTCTGGTCCCGGATCTGCAACAAACTCACACCTTGGGCAAAGCACTTGGCACATGTGGGCTCCGTTTTCCTTTACCTGTGAAAGTGCAGGCTGGATCCCACGATCTGGGTGACCCTTTCAACCCTGACAGCGGTCAACTCCAGGGTGAAACTCAGGGTCGGGGGGCTTGATCCCCTCTCTGCTCTCCAGCTCCTCCCTAATTCCCACTCCAGCCTGAAGCCTCCTTCCCTGGGACCGACAGCTAGGACAGCCGGGGCTATTTATGGTATGGCCTGTGTGTGCTCCCCTGCCCCTCCCACTCCAGGCCTCGGCCTGGCTCAGGCCCCGTCAGCCAGTGGAATCGTCCCGAGGCCTGCTTCTTTGGCTCCCTCTCTCCCAGAAACTGGCTATGCCTGGAAGAAGGAGCTCCCCTCCCCCCTGGGGACACCGTCTGGGGAGCCGTCCTTCGGCCCCTGCCTGCCGGGTCTGGGGGTCCCGGTCCGGCCCAGCCCGGGAGCCGACTCGGCCGTCGCCTCTACTGTGCCGTGATATGGCCCTGCAGAACGCCCTGTACACGGGAGACCTGGCGAGGTTGCAGGAGCTGTTTCCCCCGCACAGCACAGCCGACCTGGTCCTGGAGCACCGGGCCGCCGAGCCTCGTTGGAGCAGTCACCAGAGGGGTGAGGGGCTGCCGGGAGTGGAGGGCTGAGGACCGGGGGCCGGGGTTAACCCCAGCAGGCACAGAGACACCAAGTGCTTGAGGAAGAGGAGAAGCCCCTGGCTACTTCTCCCCTACCCAGAGGCTTGCCTAAGCCTTGGCCCAGGAGTGAAGTCATGCGGAGCCCAGAATAGCTTCTGCTGAACCGCGTGGCCGGGTCAGGCTCAGCTCGGGGACACAGAGACCCTCTCCCTCCATCCGTCCCCGTTTCCCTCCCCCTCTCCCTCTCTCTCTGCCGCTGCCCCCTCCCTCCCCCTCCTCCCCCTACGCCTCTTCCCACAAGCTCATACTCTGTCCTCATGAGCTGGTCCCCAGAAGAGTGCAGGGGGCCGGGGGAACGCCCCGGTGACAGACACACCCTCTGTGCCAGGCTGGTGGAGAGGCCCAACGGAGGGTCTACAGAGCGTCCAGAGTCTGGCTCGGGACCCATCGTCACCCGTACGGCCTCGGGACCTGCCCTGGCCTTCTGGCAGGCAGTGCTGGCCGGGGACGCGGGCTCTGTCTCCCGCCTCCTCGCCGATTCCAGCACCGGCCTGGCTCCGGATTCCGTCTTTGACACCAGCGACCCAGAGCGATGGAGGGATTTCCGCTTCAACATCCGGGCTCTGAGTACGGGCCAGGGGCACTGGGGGGGTCTGAGCGGGAGCGGGGAGGCTGGGGACAGAGCCCTGAGCTCCCTCTTCCCAGCCTCTGCCCACCTCCTCTGCTGCTCTCTGCCTGTCTTCAGGGTCTGAGGCCCATGTCCCTCTCTCCCTAGGACTCTGGTCTCTGACGTACGAAGAGGAGCTGACCACCCCGCTGCACGTGGCGGCTAGCCGGGGCCACACGGACGTTCTGCGGCTGCTGCTGAGGCGGCGGGCAAGGCCCGACAGTGCCCCCGGGGGCCGCACCGCCCTGCACGAGGCCTGTGCCGCGGGCCACGCTGCCTGTGTCCACGTACTGCTGGTGGCAGGAGCCGACCCCAACATCCCTGACCAGGACGGCAAACTCCCCTTGCACCTCTGCCGGGGGGCTGGCACCCTCGAGTGAGTGACCCCTCGCCCCAACCCCCGTTCCACTCTTCGGGCAGGCAGAGAGGTGACCTCGGGGAGGATGAGGGAACATGTTGGGGGCTGGCAGGCCTGGTGAGTCGGGCTAGAGGAGACGGGGCTCAGGTGGAGAGTCAGGATGTGGTTACTCCCCAAACCATCCTGCCAGCTGGCCCCGGAACTTCGGACCAGCCCGTACCTGGGACAGCTTCTGCTTCCCCAGGGGTGTCGGAGGACTGTGGCGGGGACCCACCTGCGGAGCCTATGTTGGGGAAGTTGTCCAGATCCATTGTGGGGAGGCGGTATACTATGAAGTTTTGGTTTTTCTGAGATTATCCAACGTTCCAGGCACCGTGCTCAGTACAGCAGGAACTGAGGCATGATCCTGCCCTCAGAGAGCTGACCGTCCAGGAGTGATCCGGATAGTCTGTAAAGGATAACAGCCCCCAGTTGGGGCACGCATCAATCCCTGTGGGCAGGGTCTCGTCCTACCTTGGCAGGTCTGGCATTTCCCTATTGGCAGGTACCTTCAGATACAATGGGCCTAGGGACCAAACTCAACTAACTAAACTCACAAGAAACCGATGGACATACCCATGTGACAATGTATTATTTCGTGTGCGGGAAATTCCTTTACTGCGACTCAAATAATTATGCCCTACGTGTAGGAAGCATTGGGGGATGAGTCCTCGCTCAATTAAAAAAAATTTTTTTTTAATGTTTATTTATTTTTGAGAGAGAGAGAGAGAGAGACAAAGTGTGAGTGGGGGAGGTGCAGAGAGGGAGGAAGACACAGAATCCGTAGCAGGCTCCAGGCTCTGAGCTGTCAGCACAGAGCCCCACGCGGGGCTCAAACTCACGAACCGTGAGATCATGACCTGAGCCAAAGTCGGATGCTCAACCGACTGAGCTACCCAGGCGCTCCATCACTCAATTTTTTGATGAGCACGGAATCCTGGCAATCGGAGCCTTGGCAAATCCATGAACGAACTGTACATACAATAGAGGCCCTCTCTCTACTGACTGCACACTTGACAAATTTCACATCTTGCTTCTGAATGAGGCCAAGTTTTTATTCTTTTTGTGAACCTCCCTCCTGTTAATTTATCCTTCAGCAGACTCCACTGACTTACTATGGTTGAAGGTATATTCCATACCAGTGTGTTCCAATAGAAATATAATGTGAGCCACGTATGTAATTTAAAATTTTCTAGTAGCTTTATCAGAAGGATGAAATATGGGACACCTGGGTGGCTCAGTCGGTAAAGTGTCTGACTCTTGATTTCGGCTCGGGTCGTGGTCTCATGGCTCGTGAGTTCGAGCCCCACGTCAGGCTCTGCACTGACTGTGAGGAGCCTGTTTGGGATTCTCTCTGTCTCTCCCTCTGCCTCTCTCTCTCAAAATAAATAAGTAAACTTAAAAAAAAAAAAAAAAAGATGAACAGTAATGCGGTGCCTGACTGGTTCAGTCAGTAGAGCTTATGACTCTTGATCTCGGGGTTGTGAGTTCGAGCCCCACATTGGGTATAGAGATTACTTA